TGTATATAATAATTCTATCCCTGAGTAGTATAATCTATTATTACTACCTATCGAAGTTGATAGCTTAAAATAATTCAAAATTATTGAAATTCTAAACTTTTATTAAAAGAAAAGAGATTATAAAGAATCTTGTTTGAAATATACTATTCACTAAATCAACTACAAAACATCAATCAAAAAACCTATAAACTACCTAAAGAATATATAAGAACTGATTTACAATTTCCATTAAAAATACCCCAATAAACTAGGATCTATTTAATCGAATATTACTTGCCTATAAACTATTAAATTATAATACCTTTGTTTTAACAGAGCTTAACTTTTAAAAAAAGAGTAATATTATAGTATAAAATTATATAATATATTGAATCTTTTAAAAGGATTCGGAATAGGTATTTATATTAGAGTATAAATAAGCTAGAATTTAATCGAATTAATTTACTTAAGAAAATTCTGTATATCTTCAATTTGAAAGATTTTATATTATAATTTTTCAAACTATATCTTAATTCTAAAATCTAAATCTATTATCTAAATCGCTATAACTTTATTATATTAGAGCAAAGTTACTAGAGCCTTATTCTTACCTGCCGGCCTCGTAATAATACTAAATATATATATATGTACATATAGACGAGAATAATTATAATTAAGGTTAATTTATAATAAAAGTCTTAAAAATACTATATAAACTTTAATTCTTTATATATGCTCTATATTTGAAATTATTATTATAAAAAATAGATTATTAAAAAGTCCTTATCTTAATCTATACGATTATCTATTTTATTATTTTCTATTTAATTTTATTAAGACAGTTTTATTGAAAAAGATAGTTTTCTGTTTTGATTATTATATTATATTATAATACTAAGGAAGTTAAACTAATTAGATCGCTTGAATCGAGTGTTACAGGAGCTGCCTCTAGAATCATGTAAAAATGATTAGAAATCTCTTGAAATGATTTAAACTAAACTTCAAATAGGAATTCAATAAGGTTATAATTAGTTGCAATTCTCGTAACTATAGTAATAAAACTAATGATTGTTCTTAAGCACGAAGCTCTATATTGTAATGAAACCCATACCCTTATATAGATCTTCGTTTTCTGTTGTCCTATTGATCCCATTCATTAGGAGTGATAGGAGTGATGGGATCCTACTGATCCCATTGATAACAATCAGTGGGATCGATGGGACGACCCATCACATGACACCCCTCCCGTGACTTCCAATAGTACTACTGCTTATCTAACCTATGCTTGTTACTTACCCTATGTCTACTGTAGGGTAAGTAACAACAAAAGATAGGTACCTATCTTTTAATCACTGATTACTTATTTGGTTACCTCTATCTTTAATTACCCTTCAATTCAACTGTCCCTACAGTGCTGTTTTCGTAGGTTCCAACATCAAGGCCTTAGGTTTATCTTATAATCCATGTTGCGGTGCGAGTACCTCCGTAACATCGAGTCTTATTAAGCGAGAGTTTCTCATTTTTCGTATATATACAGCTTCGGTCCTTATAGGCGATAAGATTATTAAGAAGGTAAACCTTTAATAATATTTATAATAGTATTATAAAAGCCTTAAAAATACTATTAGTATTATCATGAGGATAATAAAGTTAATATAGTATTATAGTTTGTACTATTATTATATTACTTGAGATTCTAAAAGCTTAGATTATAAAATATATTACTATAATATTGAAAGATTTTAATACTAATATTAGTATAATTATGTAATTCTTATTCTAATAAATACTATATAAACTTCAATTCTTATATAAGCTTTATATTTAAGTTATTGTTATAAAAAATAGATTAATGAAAAGTTCTCACTTTAATCTATATGATTATCTATTTTATTATTTTCTATTTAATTTTATTAAGACAGTTGTATTGAAAAAGATAGTTTCTGTTTTGATTATTATATTATGTCATAGTATTAAGAAAGTCAAATCAATCAGATCGCTTGAATCGAGTTTTATTAAGCGAGAGTTTTTCATTTTTTTTATATATATAGCTTTAGTCCTCACGGGCGATAAGATTATTAAGGAGGTAAACCTCTAATTAAGACTATATAAAATAGTAATGAAGCTTACTAAATATAGCGGTCAAAACACTTCGAACTCGCTTTATTATATAAAAAAGAATAATAAAGCATAATTTTAACGAGGAAATTCGCTTAAATTTAATCGAGCCCTCTTTAAAAACACGCCCTCGTATACTATAGTAAATACTCGCGTTTACTAAATAATAACAACGTTGGAAAATATTAAGAATGAAAATAATGAATAATATATTATTCCAGATAAAGTTATAGAAGTGTTCCATATTCAAGACTACTACTGAAAAGAAACATAAGATATGAGTTCAAACTTCAAGCTCTAAGCTTACTAGAGCACTACCTACATATACTGTGATCATTTGATTCCTGGAGGAGGGACTTCTAAATCCCAATCCCAAATCGAGAGCAATATCCCTTTTCAACGTGATGATTTCGTTATTATCTCTGGAACATCTTTGCTGTGTACGCTATTAGCTTGTGATCCAACTGAGTATACATTAGAATGTACTATTAAAATATAGATGCGGGAAATAGACATTTAGTAAACACGAAATTCTCTAGACACTGGACAGAATGAGAAGATGGATTTGTTCTGGAACATTCGGGAGCTGGGTTTCAAGAATAGGTTGTGTCTTGTATCATCCCCATTCCTGATTCTTGGTTTGTTTCAAGAAATCTCTGAGAGATTATATTTGATTTAACAAACTGGCGTGGAAAATACTATTAAGAAATACCTTCGAACGATCTGTAGAGACTTTGAGAGATATCCGTAAGTAACCTGAATTGACAATTGAAGATGGATGAGAACAAAGAATTTTTTCATGGCACTTGAACTGTGATGATAGTAAGATGGGATAGTGCAGAGATATTGTTATCAGGATTTGAGGAGGAAAACTTTCCATGTTTGCAGGTTCGTGAACCCTCATCGTCATCACCACCATTATCATCATCATTACCAATATAAGGTTAACTTTTCAACAAGAGATCACTATAGATCACATATCAACATCCTCGCTCTCCTCTATCTACAACAACCACCTGACACTAGCCTACGCTATCAAATCTCAATACCTCCTTTTTCTTTTTTCTTCCGAAGATCTGAGATCCATTCATCACATTTCCAATCCCCATCTCGACTCTCGAGAATACAACAACTCAACCCAACAAAGCAATGAAAACATAGGGAGGACCATCAAGCAGTTAGAGTAAACCCGACAATCCTAAAAACTAATATAATAGATTGGAAATTAGAGCCTGTCTTGAAATATTCTCATTTACAAGCTAGGTATGCATGTATGTGAAACAAGAGAGGTGAGATCTAGGTAGAGCTAGGAAGAAAGTCAAATCAAGGAAGGAAGGATGAAAGAATGCTAGCTGAGCTCAGCTTAGAGGGGACGTGAGGATTTCTATTGCTGATGGATGGATGGATGGAGTACGTTATCCCCTGAATCTCTCTTGCTCTCCTTTGTTTTCTTTTTATTTTCTTCTGATATTTCAATATTTTGAAATTTCGTTATTCGGATACAGAAAGGAGAGAGACACGACTCAGATTTCAAATTTCAAATTATAATATCAACAATCGATTCAAATCCCGATTCGTCTACACCTAAACAAGTAATTATTATTTATTATTTAATTTTCCTAGCATTCCACAGACGTGAAGTTAAAGTAATCTTCGCAGTCGCGTTTCGTATTCGCGAGCGAGGTAGACAGGTAGAGTAAGTAACCCCCCAATCCTAGTTCATCATATCATAACCTTATCAAATTCCCTCCTCCCGCTTATTAATCTAACATCAATATCAGCATCAATCCCGCAATACCCAGACTCCCAGACTTCCGGACGAAACATCCACGCACTAAAAATAAGCGTTCCGCCCGCCCTCAGTTGATAAATAAGGAAATAAATATTCCACCCCGCCGCCAGGATAACAAACCGAAAACACAATTAATGGACTCCCGTTCCCCGTCCAAAAAAATCAACATCCGCCGCCCCCGCTCCCACACCTCTTTAAACTCCAGCCTACCCCCCACCGCAAAAAAACCAAAATCAAATCCCTAATATTCCAAGCTCCCTAGCCGGTTCGAACGACTGACCTGACGATGATAACTAACCACGCGAACCATGAGAAACACTACTGCAATCGTCCGCTCTACCACTGAGCTAAGGAAGCGATTTTGCTATTTTCTTGGCGCTGTTACTGACATTTAACGTCACATACTATAAACTAAATCACCTTGGTTAGCATTCATAATTGATGTTGGATTATATAAGTATGTGGGTTTAGGAAGTGTTGTTTAGGAGGGATCTTGAGTGCGTCTTTTTATATATTTAATTCTATATCTATTTCTATCTATTCTATCCCATCCTATCCTATCCTCAATTTCGAACAATATTTCATTCATTCATCCATTTCACCCTGAAGCCCCATTTCCTCCCTCCTCCCTCCTCCCTCCTCCCTCCCTTCCAGAACTCAAATCTAAGAAATTCCAAAAACGAGAGTTTCTCCCTCTCCTTCTCCTTCTCCTCTCAATCACAGTCTTCAATATGAATATACTAGGTAGATATCCAGCCCATCCTTCTAATTCCAATTTCCAAATAATTGACTCACTCCCATCTATTCCTCCTCCTTCACCCTCCACCCTCCTCCTCCAATCCTCCACTCCCTTCCCTTCCCTTCCATCTATCCCCTTCCATCTATTCCTCCTCCCCTCCCCTCCCCTCTCCACATCCTCACCAAACCAAAACCATAGAGAAGTATCCACCAGAAAACAATATAAACTAAAAACCTAGCAAGATCCCTTCTCTCCTTCTCTCCTTCCATACTTCCCTTCTCTCCTTCCATACTTTCCATACTTTCCATTCTTTCCATTCTTTCTTTCCTCCATCCTCTCACACGCCATCCCGACAATGTCTCCTCTCCTCTCCTCTCCTCTTCGAGATCCCGCTTATTTGCTCAAACATATATAACTTCCATCTCGCTTTTCCCCACCATCTCGCATTTTAGGTGCCAGAGAAAAGATTGGACTACTGCATTGGGGTACTGTATATAAAAAATTTAAATCAACATATCGTGAGTAAGGTAAAGAGGAAGAGTCCGAGTAATATACATAACATGTATGCAGATAGTATAAGCTGAAATTCACATCCAACAGAGCCAGAGACTGCGATCCAGAAAGCGACAGACACAGAATGAAAGACAGAGACAAAGTTAAAGACAACTCCAGATAAAGGTAAATAGAATTCATAAAAATACACATTCCACCAAAAATGTAAATACAGCTACAAATAAATATAACATAACATAAGGTATCAATCATACCAATTCTAGGTATGTTTAAAGATTTCAAAAAAGGGTTGAAGCTGCCCTGCCCTGCCAAGCTCGTGCTCAAGCTCCGTGAATTTTGGCCACGCCAAATCAATCAACCCAACCTCTAAACCCCATGCCCAACCAATAGACCAAAAGAAAAAAGCAAACACACAAAGGAAGAAATAAGGTGACTCCTTCCTCTCATCCAAACGCCATTCATCCGATTCCCTAACCCAAGTTCTCGTCCTATTCATACAGTGTGGGTATTCACCTCTTCTCTACTCTCCGAACGAGATCATTTGACCCTCTTGAATCAATGCCGCGACGTCGTCTATATATAATGTATAGAATGTAAGAATGTCTTTTGCGATGCAATGATGCAATGTGACAATCGATGTCATGTATGCTAGTGATGCTAACACAACAAAAGATAACCCTTCTCGGTACCATAAATAGGTACAAGAAATGAAGTATCCTCAAATCATCTTTCCTCAGAATGGACAGACATCCATCATTTAAAGAACCTGATGTCTAACCAAAACATCTTTCAAAGCTTTCGTGTCAAAAATTGTATCGTCCGGAATCTGATCAATGATATATGTCAAATTCGCAAAAAGATCTCCTTGATTCTTGTAAGCCAATATAGCCGGTACACCTGCATTATCGAATTCTATATCTTCGTAATGAACGCGTACGAAGTGTACTGTTGGATTTGCGGCGACGAGGGGGAGAAGTGCTGAGTTGATTACTTGAGAGACGTCGCACTATGAAATTGTTAGTATATGTATGTAGGTACAGACGGGATAATGATATCGGAGAACAAACCTCAGGATCATAAACGAAAACGACAACGACGGTTTCTCTTCCGACCTTTTCAATGGCATCAAGGTACCCAAGCGCATCTACCTCATCAAATCTTCCATAACGACGCACACTAGGACTCGTCCTCCTATTTCTAATATCTTTCCCTTCACTCTGCATTTCTACTCGTCGTTGTTGTCTCCACCTCTCCAAGAACTCTTCATCATCACTCAACCCCGCCTCACTCCCCGAACCATCCTTAGTGAACGTTGCCTTCTTATCCTCTTTTGTGATTGTATTTCCCCTCAACTTATTTCTCCAACCCCCCGTCTTCCTCGCTTCTTCATAACTTCTCGCATCAGCGATCACCCCCTTAACTCCCGTCGTCCTCCCACTATCAAAATCTCTATGCGGCAACCTCAATGGTTCACTGAGTCCTCCCGAATTCGATCTGTCAAACAAAGGCATCTTCATTGTATCTTCTATATTGCGATTGTGATGTTCCTCTTCTTCGTCCACGTCACTATTCCTATCAAAGCTGTAATCCTTTTCGTCGTCTGGATGTTCGTGATGTTCGTTTGCAGAAGCTTTTGCAATGATATTGTCAAATTCTTCTTGCGCCGCCGTTTTGCCAGCCATCTTTCAAAGATTTATAACGAAGCAAGGGAGCCACGAGGTTTTGTAATAAGTGGGAATGAATGCTCAGGGCGCTTGAAGGATGTGCAAGGAGGATCGCGTGGAAAGGCAAGGCGTTGGTATGGATTGAACTTCTAGAAGCGGGTAGACCCTAGTAATTCCTAACCCAGGTATGAGACGGCAAGTTTGTGTTTTTTGGAGACACAGATGTTTTTTTTTTTTGTTTTTTTGCCTTCTCGCCTGTCTGGCGCTGATGATGTAGGTTTGGTTAAGCTGAAATTGAACGGTGTGGTTGGCTTGTGAGATATTCTTTGTGCAAGGGCCTCACGGCAGGGAAAGGCTGGGGAACGTCTAAGTGAGACCTGAGACTTGATTTTCGAAAATGGTTGCACCACCACCACACCAGGCAGAGAAGATCAAGTAAGGTATTGTTTCAAAAATAATCTTACGATAATATGCTTTTGTTCTTTTGTGGTATTCTATTCTCCGATGTTGTCTGTGTTTGTGTCTGTGTCTGATCTCACTGCTTTTCTTAGCTTAGTGACACTTTTTGGCTTACGTTGTTTCGAAGGATGCAGGCCAAACAGAGGGATAGAACAGACTCTAGATGCCCTTTATAAAAAGTGATACCTCTTAGACATCGGGATATACTCGAACATTTTTCTTTTCTTCTTCTAACTTCCATTCTCAGCACAGCCCTCTTTTTCGTAAATGAATAATTGAACTATATGGATATTTGATCAAATAGCAGTTTTCTTTTTTCGGTGTCCACAATGATTTTGAAGGGTTGATTATGATGATTAAATTTGGAAGTAGATTTTCTATTTTCTTCGATAATGCCAGGATAAAGACACAACAAGGTCCGTCCCTAGTACCAGCCCAGCAGCCCAGCTACTAGTTAGGTTGCGTGTGTCCCGACGACTCTACGTGGGTCAGGGGTTTGATGTTCAATTGACAAGGTCTACGCACTACACACTACTCATTACTACTCACTCTCGACTTACCTGCTAGGTAGTTGACGGGACTGGGTTGATACCGTAGTCTTTTTCTTCTGTTACATTGTCCATAGAACTAAGTGCGGGAGAAGAAGAGGAGAGGGGAAAGACGACAGGCTCGAGATAGGATTGGCGCCGTATCCCACTGCTTCAAAACTCCAACCATAGACATTCGCATCTCAGATAATTTGTCATGATCATAACCTCGAGCCTCGAATCCTATCTTACCGCCACCATACCCTTCCGATCAAGTGATTGTCGCCACGATAGCCTCATATAGAAAGTGACGAGGGAGGTGTATCCTGTACGCAGCATGTATCCTATTAATAGACATCCTCGAGGATTCGATGTCTTAATGCCATGAGCTTCCTAGTAACATCGAGGAAATGGGAATATGCAACTCAATCTACCAACCCAGCTCAATCCAAATCCAACATCTCAAGCATGAACGTACTTCCTCGGGTCTTCTGGAAGTCAATCTTCATCCAGCATCCCCATCCTTCTCAGCATGAATCTACCTCCCTATCTTCCTTGGAGTTTCTAGAAGCAAACATTCATCTAGCATATCAATCCTTCTCAACGAAATTGAATGAATGAAACAAGAAACAAAGTCATGTCGGGTCCTCATCCCATCCATCTCGCATGGTATATGCCTATAACTCTTGCATAGTCATAATCCGCATTGCTAAGAAAATCAGACGTTTCATCATCCACTGCATCCTGGATACATTATCAATCACAACATCACCATCTCCTTATCCCTTTCCTCCGTATCGTCTATTCACATTCCCAACCTTGAATCTCAAATATCAGGTAAAAATCTACAGTCTACAGTCTAACCAACAACCACCATATCCGAATTGCTAAACACACTTACACTAGAGCCTACAAAATTTAGTCCCAAGCTACTGTATCATCTATAAGTCTACAGCTCCAATTGGACTTTCCCCATCCATGTATCGCGTCGGCTCTTAGCCCATTCAAACTCCAAGAAACCACCAAGGTTCGAGCTTTGACTGGCTTCAACTACTACCTACTAGGTATACTTTGCAACTTTGACAGGTCTGACCTCCATCACATACGCACGCATACACAAACACATACACATATACACATATACACATACACATCAAACTCTCAGCTCTTGCCGTCCTCTAACCTCTAACTTCCAACATCCGTTCATCCCATTCTCCCTCATCGGCGATCCCGTTATCAAATGATGATGATATTTCTAAATTCCAAGACCAGTCTTCACACTCTCGGACTCATTCTCCGTATATCAATATCAATGTCCACATCCACAATTATCATCAAAGCCCATTGCTATGATCTCATTCACACAGCATCCACGCGACATTCATCACACCTCATCAGCCTTCCCTCCGCTCATCCGTTCCCATTCCGCTCAACCACCTCCGTCTCCAATTCCTTTCCTAAGCAACAGAAAACCATACCAGTAAATAAACCCAAACAAGCCATCCATCTTCAAACCCATCTCTAAAAACCAACACTTTCGTCAACCCTCGGAAAATGCCATAATTCCATATACAACACAATTCTCACCTAAACCCCTAACCTAACTATTAGCCGCATACTCCATACACACCAACCCAACCCGCCCCATAAATTTATTTTAGCCTACCCAGCCCATCGGTATTCCCTCTCGCGCGCATAATCGAGTCGGCATTGCCGATTTTACTGCTGTCAATCTATGGTTATCAACCTAGTATTCTACTCCAGTAATTCACTACACACTACTCTACTCATACTCTACATCCAACATCCAATATTCAACATCTAATATCCAACATCAAAGGTTAATATCTAACATCCAATATCTATTAAAATTCCCCCCTTTTCTAACTATCCACTCGAACAATTCAATCATCAATCCCACACCTTTCTCATCTATAAGTTACAATCCATCTCATCTCATATCATATCATATCACATATTAACCCCCCTTCACCAGTTTCGCATTCCAATTCCATACTTTCCACCCGCATAAACATGAATAACACACATACTAGAAAATTAACATCCCTCACCAGCTCAACAAACTCAAACTCAAACTCACACATAATTAATCGAACTTTCCCTCGATTTCTTCTACGCATTACCAATAGCCATAAATCGCATATACATACATCTAGATTCTAAATCCCCTTCCGCTCATTTATCTACGCAACGTAGCTTGGCTAATCTATCGATTCTTGTGTATTCCATATCTTGTATGAAGATACACTATTTATATAGATGATATAGAAAGCGATATGTTGGATCATATCTCTATGGTGTCAAAGTTCTTTACTCATGAATCGGATTATCGATGTCTTGAATTGCGGATTACATACAAATTCGGATTACATACACATTCAGATCCAAATATTCCTCGTCTTATAATCTCTCGAATTTCTGTTTTTGATATCAAAAGTCATGACCTCTAGTCTATAATTATTCAATCTCAAAATAGTAATAACGTCCAGAGAATATACCGAGATGTTTGTTTTCCATCACGTATATCATTATATACATCGAAGCAAGCTTGAGATTTTTCTCTTCTCTACTCCTACTATCCTATGTATGTATTTATTTGTTTACTTCTCCACTCCCCTCCCCTCGAGCCTTTCCGCTCGAACTAAAAATATGAATACGAATATAAATACAAAGACATCCAAGGACCAAGACCCGACATCCCATCAATCTCCTCCATCCCTCTTTTCCTTCTATATTCTACATATCACTCTAACTTGCGTGACTAGCTCTGCACCCATCCAACTTACCTATCCACTTAACCACCTACTGCACCTACTACACCTCACATTCCCACCGTAAATCCTAATACCCAATTCCTAATCCCCAGTCCTCAATATACACAACACCCACAGCCCTCAACACAATTCCTAAGTTCCCAAGTTCCCAAACTTTCCCCTCCGCAACCATCCATTCCTCACCATCCCTACGTACTCATTCTATCCCATACCCATTTCTAATCTCCAATCCGACCACCCAACCACCCAATCTCTAATCTCTCCCCATCCCCTCTTCCCTTCCTTTCCCTCCCCTCATCCTCCTCTCGAACCCCTATCCACTCATCCACTCATCCATTCATCAACCAAAAGCCTAAACTGTTCCCCTCCTCTTCCCCCTTCTTCCCAATCCACCTCATTCGTTCAGCAAATACATCGACTCATCTTCTTCTCGTATCTCTCTCTTTCTTATTCCCACCCCATCCCCTTTCCAGTTTTATTTTCATTCTCTTTCCTCATTTCCCCCACCGCTACTCCAAACTCTCCCAAATCTCACAAACCCCATAAATCTATAAATCCTATAAATCTTACAAAACCCTCCGAATCTCACTCAATCCCACCCAAAAACCACATTCATGTCATACTGGCTTAATGACCTTACTTATCACCCCCCCCCCTCACCCCCCGTCTCAAAACCCGCATTCTATATCTAAGCGAGTGAACTCATATTATCCCTAATCACAACACCTATACTATAGCACTTCTACTACTTCCGCTCGTTTTACTGCTTTCGTCACTCCCATCACTTCCACTCCCATCGCCATCCATCCATCCATCCATCCATCCATCCATCCATCCATCCATCCATCCATCCATCCATCCATCCATCCATCCATCCATCCATCCATCCATCCATCCATCCATCCATCCATCCATCCATCTACTCCAAATACTCCAATCCCCAAACTATAAAAATCCTTCTATAAAACCCTCCTACATAAAATCTCTCTACTGATAATCTCTCCCTTAACTTCAGTCTCGAGCATAACCCTAAATCTAGACCTAGACCTAGACAAAAATATAAACACAGAAACCCCCTTACTCGAATGCAAACACAAACACAAATATAAACACATAACCCACTCACTCACTCACTCACTCACTCATATCCATCTACCTCCACCCCCGCTCCTTCTCCTTCCCCTTCCTCAATCCTCCCCTCTCTTCCTCCCCTCTCTTCCCTCTCTTCCCTCTCTTCCCTCTCTTCCCTCTCTTCCCTCTCTTCCCTCTCTTCCCTCTCTTCCCTCTCTTCCCTCTCTTCCTCTCTTCCCTCTCTTCCCTCTCTTCCCTCTCTTCCCTCTCTTCCCTCTCTTCCCTCTCTTCCTCTCTTCCCTCTCTTCCCTCTCTTCCTCTCGTTCCTCCTTTCCTCTCTTCCCCCTCTTCCCCCTTCTCACCCAACCCTCATCCCAAACCGAAAAGCAAAATCACAAAATCATAAACCCCAGGAAAATCAAAACTCCCAATATATCCTCTTAACAGCCCTTATCATTCATCTATTCAATTCAATCCAACATATTCAATCAATTCAAATCAATTCTTCACCGAATATACTATTCTACAAAACTTTTCCAACACAGACTGGATTAACAAAACACCACCTCAACAATCAATTTCCCTTTCGAATATCAATTCGGCTCCATCCAGACTCCTATTCCCCAATCCTACACCAAGCCCCGGCAAAAAAGACACACTTCATCACCATGCAAAGAAGAGAAAGAAAAAGTAATAAAAAGACATATCTATCAAGGGCATTATTAGACTATAATACAAGCTTTGTATGAAACCGACGCCAGATTCAATAATTGTTAAACTTATGCTGCAGTGGTGCTTCACATGCCGTTGCATTACAGAGCCTAGTTATGAGTCCTCTCCCCC